AAATAATTTTAGTTGCAATCAGGTTCATTAGGCGTTCAGGTGTTCAAATGGACATATTATTAATATTATGTAGCATGGGAGGATTTGGGTATTTTGAATGCGTATAGACGACCAGCAGTTACGTGGGTAGTGTGACAACAATATTGCCTCGTCCTTAGTTGATAACAAGAACGGGACTAGATCTAGTATTTGATTTTGAACTATTTAAACTTATGAAAAAATAAGCATACAACCCCCCCCCCCCCCGGGCCACTCGTCGCCTTCTCCCTCTTCAGTCTTTCGCTTCCAAACCCACCAGATCGAAAGCCTTCTATCGTCATTCGACCTTGAGAAATAGTGAAGCATCCTGGGGAAATCAGGTTCCGGTTCTTGTCAAAATAGTGACATTGAAGAAACAGACATTGTCCCGCTCGTTGGGCAACTTTAATCGATTTTTTTTTGGGGGGGGTATCAACACTTTCATGTTCATTTAAAAACATATTTCTTAGTGAACTATACTGAAGATCATTGATCAAAGGCATGGCAAATTCAGTTTTGCCGTTTCCAAGGACAGGCAAGCTTTGGAAGTCACCAAACATTGGAGGTCATTTTCTCGCTTTATTAACCCTGAAACCAGGCGACCACCACATTCTTTAGTCGCAAATATCTGGACTTCTATTCAAGACAGATGGGGGGCATTTTTTCCCCAGCAAAAGTAAGGCGAATGAACAAGCTTTTAATTTTATACCAATAATCCCAGACGCTTGATTCTGTCATGTTGTGACACACATAAAATAAAAAGCACTACAGCTGACTGCTCTTACAGGGTCATCATTGTAGGCCTACTGTACATGCTTGTAACATTTAAATTTAAGGGCCAAAATAATACGAAGCCTGCAAAAATGGTAAGAGTAGAGATTATATGGATATTAACTTACCCGCCTCTTGTTCATAGTGGTAATTCTTCTCTTTTTGTTTATCTCTCGACCTCCCCCCCCCCTCCCAAAGCCAAACAAAACTACCTTCCTCCTGTTCTGTCACAAACGCAAACACACATGCACACACACGCGCGCATGCCTGCACACATACACACACACACACACACACACACAGAGATATCGGTATGATGGTATTGGTCAGGTGGTGATCGTCAGAGTGTTTTAACGACGCTCACAACTGCATGGTCATATTATTATGAGTGCCAAGGAGTGGATGTCAATAGAGGTGTTGATCAGAGTAGTAGCCTCAGCTCCATACCCCCACAACTCGACCTTCCTCTCATGATTTAGATAAAATGGGGCCAGTTCGTACCAATAACATAGCGTCGTGAGTGTGAGTGTGACTAGATTTACACGTCACGGAATGCACCACAGGAAAACGTGAGCACTTTCGTACCAAAGATTCTCTACTACCCTTGCTGGTACAAGACACAAGCTAAATATATACCCCGACGTCTTACTATTATTATTATTTAGTAATGGGAGAGGAACAGCATTTTTGTTCTGTTTTGTTTTTAAGGGGAAAAAAAAAGGGGGGGGGGGGCTGTTCTGTCTAACGCCCAACTAAACAACAGTGTTTGGTGCTTGGACTTGAAGGCCCCACAGTGTGTGTGTGTGTGTGTGTGTGTGTGTGTGTGTGTGTGTGTGTGTGTGTGTGTGTGTGTGTGTGTGTGTGTGTGTGTGTGTGTGTGTGAGAGAGAGAGAGAGAGAGATGAATTTCGTTTTCGTCGACATCACAAAACCAGCAAGGATGAGCTGAAGATGATACAAGAGGAGTGTTCACTATTCAAACAGCGAATCCCCGTGGTTCGAATCCCAAATGCAGAATTCTTGAATTTTACGTTGCACTGGAGATAATGGTCAAATGAGTGGTACGCCTCTTGAAAAATTAATAATGTTGAAAAAGGCAGCAACCCATACTATTTTTACTATACAACACTTGTCAAAAACAATGAATGAAACCTCAGGTACAGAGAGAAAGGGAGCCTTTGTTCAGTCAGCCTTGTGCAACATGCTCTAACGTATTTTCCAAGATGGAAAGAAAACTGTCACTCATATTTCAAGGTGCACAAACCAGAAAGCTAAAAAAACCCAGATCAAAACACTTATGTGTAGAAATAACATGACTTTTTCTTTAATGATAAGATTGTACAGATTGAGTGGGTAATGTTAACACAGTATAATTCATTGAAAATATTTGGCACGATGATGAAAACAAAAACAAAACATGTAAGCATAGCTATTTCCTGGCCCTTTCATAAAAACACTTTTCACATCTACAATATGAACTAAACTGTATAGGCATACAGCAGCTTTTGACATGCTCAGTACGAAGGAACTGAGTCAGATCATTTCACTTCAAACTGATTTTTGGAAAACTTGAGGCTGAAGTGAAAAAGTGAGATTCACAGACGCTTAAAAACCACTGCATTTCATGCCAACAGAACAGAACAGAGTATAAAGTTTCCTTTTCCAAACAAAAACCCTGGAGACTTGACTACGAAAAGGCAAAATTATTCTCGACTTACGGGGTAGTAAATGTACTGTTAAAATGGACAAATTTCGGTCTCCAAATGGCCAGTGGCCGATCGTATGACTGTTTTTTTTTATAACGCAATACGATCAAGTCGGGGGGGGGAGAAATTTAATAACCATGGTGACCACTGTCTACACATCAACATTACACATGTAGATCTAATGTAATCATGGTAAAAAATACCTTTTTGTGTTCTTTAAAACATAGCAAGACAAAAAAAGAGTCACTTCCAAGTTAATTATGATACCCTGATTCTGAATTTGTTACATACATATGTAATATTTTTACAAAAAGGTCGAAAGTTTTAATCAGTTTGCAAATGAGAATTTTACTGCCCGAGTGCAGCGTAACGTCCAGCCGCAACAAAAACAAAACATTCAAGCTGTGCCTGATTTTTTCAGCTAATATACTTTGGGGTAAACTGAAGACCAGGTAAGACCAAAAACTGCCAGTTTCAAGTGTACATGTAATATCCTCTTAAGAATGACTCATAAATTGATTACTTTGACGGCTGAAAAAATAATCCTTAATTTATACATGTACTAACAAGAATGCCAACAATATTAAAATTTATTCTTTTTAAAAACAGATCTCATGATGGTAAACACTTTTTCTCTTTCCCCTAAAAAAAAAAAAAAGAATTTAAGAAAAACGCAGTAAAAGATGGCTCTCTTTGAACCCTTGCAATAAGTTGAAACAAAATGGAAAGACAATGTGACACTTCTTATTCCTATAGAACCACAACCTACTGTGCAACAACAGAGTTGCAACTTGTTTTCCTTTTATCTCTGTTCAGAAGCAGGATCAGCACTGGCTGTAATAGTAGATGGCAGAGACAACAACTGTAATCACTAATGAAATGTCTCTAACAAGAATATCAAAGAAAAGAAATCAAAATATGAGGGTGTAATATCATATAGAATGATAATGGATGGAAATCCCTGCCCGTACAAGTCCTATTGATTACACCAATCAAATTAAATATCTTCTCAGAGACTGAAACAAAATGGCCAATGGGTGAACTCTTGACATTTAAAAAGCATGATGAAATAATCTTCATAATAATGAAAATGATACATTTAGTTAGCAGAGACACAGACTTACTCTATCCGACTGCTTTGACTTGTAAAGTCTATTCCAGTCCTCTCAGACATGACATTCCAATCTCTCAAGACACTCATCTCAAACTAGAACCACTGGAAAGCAAAACTTATGTTGTTACATCAATTACCTCATACCATCCTTTAAATGAAAGGGCAGAAAATGAAAATTCTTATCATTAAACTACAGCGAAGTCTACAACACTAATAAGAAATAATGCCCCCACTCCAACTAAAAAGCAACTACTGTATCATGAATAAGCCAGGTCCTTCTCGTAGCCACTGGTTCAGCGCCAGTCACTTGCCAATAGCTAAATGTCCCCAAGACATATCTCTATACAAAAAGTGATTCGGACAATTATTCTGTGCAAACTTACAGGTTTGGCGCATAATTATTATAGTCTGAAACCAGATTCTGAATTGTCTGTGAACCACTGCACTGTGTGCAAATCTTTAAAGGCATCTTCTACAGACAATTTTCTCCAAAACAATATCACTTCAGGAATGATTCCAAAAAAAAAGAAAAAAAAAAAAAAAAAAGAATTCATTCCAAATCAAAGACTGTCTCAGCAGTTTTCAACAGCAGCTGTGGTGAACTAAAAACATTAACTATAGCAGCAGACCAGACGACCCATCAATATGGGAACAATGTGATAAACTTCATATCATGGCCTGTTCCCTTCATGTTCCTATCGGGTCATGGCCTGTTCCCTTCATGTTCCTATCGGTTTCTGGTTGTGCATAATTTTCCATTTGGAAACGACAAATGTCGGCCGTTTGAAGAAAAACTTGAACAAATATTGCATGCTCGGGGGCCAGCTAGTAAGATGAGAAAGTCATCTGGAACATCATAAATCTTTTCACAATTTTACCCAGCCTTTAATTTAGACTACATCGGGTTGTGCTTTCTGTTCACTATAAACAACCATTGCCAGCTGTTAGAAAAAGAAGTTGTGAATAAAAACAGCTTGCTTGCATGTCAACTACTGCACGATGTTATAAAGTCATTCGGAATATCATTGTCTCTGAACAGTTTTACCTTGCCCTTGACAAAAAACAAGACCTTATTAATTAACTAACAAACCAATAACGCTGTCTGTACAAGAATGACGATCAACGAAGAATTAACATGAGATTAGAAACTAAGGCTGTAAACTGAAACTTCAAAATGACATTTTTCAAAATATCTCCAGCTCAGCACAAATGCGCAAAGCTAAAACATTTGCTGATTTAGTCAAACAATTTGCATAGAGACATGTTTATTTGTAAGTATCTTTACAAACTTGATTTACATTTTCTCACAAGGTATAATAAACTTTCTTAAAATGGACGGCCATTTATTGCATCTATAAAGTATTATAAGTGCATATAATTTAAAGAATATTTTTTACATGGATTAAAACAATTTACGACAACTTCATTCTAAGACTGTATCAAAATATTTTCTTTATCATTTTAAAACTCCAAAACATTTCCGCATCACAAAGCTATGCCTTTTTAAAAAAGCAGGCAGCATGGAGTAGCTTTCACTTCATGAGGCAATTTCTGTTGCTCTCCTTTCTATCAGTCTCTACAAACATACATAAACTTTGTCCAATACAAGGGTGGCTGATATAAATTAGTTTGCTCCTCCACCAAAAAATCTCACAGAACCAACAACCAAATGATAAAAAATACTAATTGAAACTCTAAATTGTTTCTATTTATGACATGAACTATGTTTTCTCAACAAATTTATCCATCACATATAATCATCTCAACAGAGTGCAGAAACAATGAAACAGTGTTCTCTGCAAACATCAACATTTGTACAAATGAACAAATGAAAAATTGTGTAGAAATGAGACTAGATTTCAATGTCCATATATGGAGCATGTTTTTATATTTTTAAATATGTAAAAATAAACCAAGGCTTTCTTGACATATTTAGCAAACTGAGTGAATTGTGAGTAAAGAAACAAGATGTGTGTACAGAGAGAGTGACAGTTTCTTTGCCGAGCAAATACACTCTCACAAATGGTATAAGATATATAACATGTATGACTAAAAGTCCTTGCAACAGGGGACGGAGAACTTGACTAAAAAAATCATAGAATCAGATCAATAAGTAGGCTTCCAGTGTCAACATTACCGAGGGCATGGCAGGTCTGTACAGTTTTCTGAAGCATACTTAACAAAACAAGTCATCCAACAATCTCCTCACAGGAATCCAAATATTCACCAATAAATTTTATAGAGTCAGGTACCTGCTTTCTTTCACTTAATATAAAGTTCAAATACCCAAAGAGCAACAAGCAAAAGAAACCAGAACACATGTGAAAGAAATCTATATTTCTAATCTTCTCGAGAAATGGGAATATTACTACTATTAGTTCTCAAGAACAATCCAAATTTCAATGTATTTTTATATTTTATATATATACAGAGAAACAGCAAGATACCTTTCTCTTTTCGCATTTTACTGTTTTTCGTGTGTACTCAACAGTATGGAATTGTATTTGTAGGTGTTTTACACCCCCATCACCAGCATGGACAAACAAGAAATACCAATACGGACAAACAGGAAATGTTAAATTTATCTAACTTAATCTGACAATTTCCTAGAGCTCCAAAAATCTTGCTCTCCAGACCTGTGCATGAAAAGTAAACAACATGGGACTGTAGTGTATTCAATCATTGTGAACCAGCAAACGACGAGAACAAAGACTTTTTGAAGAAATATCATCAACTAAATTTGTAATGTCAGTTTAACAAATATATGCGACAGACTTTAAGACGGCAAGAGAGGTGCATCATGTGAGTGCAAGCAGGGTTTTAGAAAGCAGAATATTTCCTCTAAATATTTTGGTATTCTGGTCTGAAATCCATCCAAAGAGGCAAACAAATTCAGTTCTTAACAGAAATTAACAAACAAATCAAGAACCCTTTTAGACCTAATATCACAAAATAAGCAGCCTTGAACTCCCAATATATCAAGCAAGAGTGTCTTTTTAAATAAAATAATCCAAGTGACCAAATACAGGAAGTGGGAATGCTAATGCTTTGAAAGCTTTGTGCTTATGTTTGGCTACGGTCTTTTTCAAAGTCTGTAGTACTTCGGTCTGAACTAGAACAAACACGGGCCACCCTACAACTGGTACACGCCACCTTCTTAAACAAGAATCTCTGTCACTTGTCAGGCTATGTCAACAGATAGTTATCTCAATGCCAGAAAAGCTCATGCTATAATGCAATACACCAGAGGAGGGGAGAAAAGAAAAAGGGAGTGGGGACGGGGGACTGGAGAGAGAGAGAGAGAGAGAGAGAGAGAGAGAGAGAGAGAGAGAGAGAGAGGGAGACAGACAGAGAGAGAGAGAGAAAGAGAGAGACAGAGAGAGAGAGACCCTAGACCTACAACTATCAGGTAGTCAGAGGTGAACTAAGCCAGGGTCAATGTTGACTTTCTCCTTCACCAGGAGGGCCAGACAAAAGAAATCTAGACGGCCACAAAGTCCTGCTAACTGGCCCAGCTGTAAGAGATAATTCAGTGAGTCAACACAACGGGCTCGGTGCTGGTGTGAAACACTGGAGGGAGAAAGTGGTCAGTAACCACTTACATAGTCACCAGTAAATATTGACCGTTGACTAGGCTGGTGCAAAACCATCCACACCAGGAGAAGCGTGCAAAGGTTCTGAGCTCCACAAGCCAAAATCAAATGAATAAAAATACAACAGCAGTCTATAAAACATGTGCACCAAGTAGTGTTCTTAGCAACCTACTGGCTAACTGAAGGAAGAACACGGGGACAAATGACAGGTTGCCAATGATTGAACTGTATCCATGCACAAAACCCTCCCCCAGTAACATGGCCCATTCAAACCTACTAGAACCAACACACAGGAGTTATTGCAAAACAATGATCACAGGATTTCAAACACTCAGCTGCTGACTGCCATGTAGCGTTATGTGTGTACTTGCGGGCAATATTTGTGACGACGTAACACTGTTCTTATAAAATAACAATGACAAAAATAACATGGTACAACCTAATCCCCTGAGCCTTGACAGTTAAATATTCAATAGAACCATTTTAATCTTCTGGCATAAACCATACAGAACAGGCTACTAAAAAAGCAAGTATGTACATCTGTTTTTGATTTCAAACCTCAGTACACTTCCCTCACTGAAGCATTTTGATGCTCAATTATAAAATCTCATTCCAAAAATTGTGAAGCTAATTTCTGGGAGTTTAATAAAAAAAAATTTTTTTTTTCCAGAATGAAAAAAAACCAACGTATCAAATGAAGGATATGAAACAAGAGTACAAACATCTTCTGTCCCCACATTTTCAACGTGATGATCAGTCAGGTGTCTTGCTAGAGGAAAGTGTCGCATTTATTGATGCAACAATCTCAGATCTGTCACTTTTCTGAAAACAAGCCACCCATTTTAGCTTCTTGAATTCTTCATTATGACAGACAAAGTCTTGGTCTATTACTTGCCTTCATCAACAAAATAATAATGAGCCGATGCTGACCTGAATCAAAAGCCACAAAAACGCTTTGCCTGCCTTTATAACTTTTTGTTGCAACCAAAAACAACTAGCAGCTCAAAACAAAAGTGTAAAAGTACATCAGTTTTACCTGCAACCCAAATTCAGTTTCGACAAAATCATGTGAAACAACGGCTGCATTTCTGTAATTGGGAAGACAGAATTGAAGCAAACACAATCCAGATTGTTCGTTGAGCTCGTGAAGAAGCTGAAGTGGGTGATTCCTCTCTCAGAAGACAGCAGACACAGACTGTGCCAAACGTTGTCCATGGGAGAATCTCGCACAGCTAATCTCGCTGACCCTGATGCTTGGCCCACCACTATCTCCGACTGACGATTAGACTGCAGTCTGTAGTGACGTCCAGCGCAAGCACCCCAAGAGAAATTCCAAGGGCAGAAGAAACACAAAATATTCCACAGGCCTTGATCCACAGGTTGTTACGTCTGTTGTGCATTCAGCGCCAGTCACCAGTTTTGCCAACCTCTGCATCAGAATCACCACAGCAAACTTTATGAGCAGGAAAAAAATCCCTGTATGCACTATATCAACCTAATTTTCGTATACCTTCTTTTTCTTTTAGACTCTTTTTACAAAAATGTGTACCTCTTCAATTCAATTAACAACAAAAAAAAGGGTAAGGGAAGCACAAGAACTTATGAACTGTTCCTCTTTCTGCTGTCCTTTCCAACAAAAAACTGAAGGACATCCACACGTGATGTGCAAATAAACCAGCGTAAAAATTACAGACAACGGACTGCGGTTGTGCCAAAGCAAACTTGTGAGAACCAACACAGAACAACACAAGACTACAACCCTAAGCCCAGTACTACACACAGTACATAGCTTTGCCAATTCAAGAGAGAGAAAACCAAAGTGACAAGATTTAAATTGGCGGTGAATGGGTGCAACTCACATTCGAGAAGACACACAGTCTGACAACACTAAGTTTAGGTTTCAGAAATATAGACAAGAAGGTAAAAACTGTAGGATCAAGAAGCCCTTACGCAAAGTCAGAACTTACAAAACTTAGTCGACATATATAGAGAAGTTGCAGTCACAGGGATTACGAGCCATCTATTGCCCAAACATACCCATCTGTCTCTGAAGTAACACTCACATGTCAGGTGTCATCACTCAATCAGAAGATACAGAAACAGTTTACAGATATAAATTATCAATTGCTTTTCAACAATATCTTACAACAAATCTACACAAAATCTGCAGTAGTTTCCAAGCACTGTAACTGACAAAAGATTGTGACTATGGCTACAAAACCAGGCACAGCTCATGAGATGAGAGTGAGTGAAGGGAGAATATTGTCCAACACTAGTGCAAACACAGACTTCTCTGCCTCACTTTGCAGTCAACATCATAATCTAACATGTGATTCCAATTTGGGAATGAATCAAGCATTTGCCATTGTAGCAATCACCACGAGAAAAAGAGCTGTTTCCTTGACATAGCTGTACACAGCTTCAACACCCTCCCACTGACCTTGTGTGTTTGTACACTACCAACACATACAGCCAGAGCACTCACTTTGGTAAAAGAAAACATTTGACCACCTGGTCTGGACGCCGTATATCAAAGTTATCTACAAAATGTACTGTCATTATAATATATTATATATATAATATATCGTGTATATATATTACATATAAATATATTATAGAATTCAAAATACCTGCATCAGAAACTCACAAGCCTGTAAAGAAGCAATATCAAGAGGTAATCCTGAACAAGTCTTGGTAATTTGACAAATTTCTGTCCGACATATCTATAGCTACCTCCATTTTAATGCACACTATCTAATATTTTTTTGCTAAATTTTTAAAAGTATGGACGACTGCATTCCTTGCAGATTTACCTCCTTAGGCAAACTGGATGGAGCCAGGACATAGAAACACACATCAAACGCATGTCTTTACTTCATGAACCCCAAAGAGAATTTAAAATCAAATTATTTGGAGCAGATTCAACTTCTCGCTTCACTAAAAATATACATTGTATTTTGAAAGAAGGAATTTTAAAAACAAGTCGATGTGCACTAGTCTCTTGAATAAAATCGGTAAATAATGTGACCAAATTTACACTGGGAGGGTGGGGTGGATTGGTGGGGGGGACAATTTGGTTTAGGGATTGTGGGATGTGGAAGGGGTGGGCATGGGGTAGATGCTATGCATAGTTGCTGTGGTGACTGCCCAGTGAGGCCAAGTCAGCCTGTACTTCTGGGTCTTTGTGCAATTCGTCTATCTCCTCGGGCTGTACCCGCCGCCTGTCTGAGCGCAGTGAGTGCCCTGAGCGGTTGGACTTGTTGCTCTTGGTTGACTTGGTGGATTTGGCCGACTTGGTGCTGTTGTCTCTCTGAGACTGGCGCTGGATGATGTTCTGGGAGATGTTGCGGTGAAGGTTCTTGTTGGAGGTGGCGGTGGTGCTCTGTAGGAGCCACGGGTGTTTACAAGCCTGGCTGGCTGTCAGACGATCGTTGGGGTCAAGCACCAGGGTTTTGTCAATGAAGTCCTTGGCCAGACCGGACACATCTTTCCAGTGCTGGATGCAGGGGGAGAAAGAGAGAAATGAGATTAATTCAACAATAAGCAATCAAATATCCTTCAAGGTTGTATTTTTAGTTTAGTAAGAGTTTTAGCAAGGTCATATAAGTGCTGAAGAATAGAGGTTTTTAGTTTTAGTAGAGGTTTTACAGCGCTCGAAACTTCATAAGGTTGTATGAGCGCCAGAATATTAAAAATGTTACAAGAGAGTAACAAACATAAAAAAGAAGAAAGGGAGATCAGGACAAATAGACGTTCGATAGGAAAAAAGAAGCAAACCACACCAGAGCACCCGCCAACCACCCACGAAGATTAGAGGTGTTACAAGAGAGTAACAAACACAAAACAGAAGGAGGAGAGATCAGGACGATAGGTGTCTGATAGGAAAGAAGGAGCAAACAACACCAGACCCCCGACCAACCACCCACTTCAAGGTTGTATGCACGGGAATAATGAGAAGCACATACACACATTAACCCCTTCATTGCCAGGCCCGACACCCTCTTGAGCTATGTATTAGGACTGTGGAGCAAGTCAAACACTTTTAGTTTCAGTAAAAGTTTTATGGCACTAGGAACACAATAAGGTAATATAAATGCTGAAGATTAGAGGTGTTACAAGACAGTCACAAATAAAAAATAAAAAGATGTAAAAGAGATAAGGAAAACAAATGTTTGATAAAAAAGAAGGAACAAACCACACCAGAGCACCCACCAATCACCACTAAATAAGTTTGAGTGGAGGGAAGCACATACACCTCTTCACAGACAGGCATGGCACTGTTTTGAACTATTTAATAATAATAATAATAATAATAATAATAATAATAATAGCATTTGTATAGCGCAGATCCCCGCTCAACAGCAAGCTCTATGCGCTTCACAGTCTACACTATTACCCCAGCAGACCTGAGAGCATTCTGAAACAAACTCAACTTCCTGAGAAGCATACAGTGCAAGCAGCCATTTTTTTGGGTCCACCTGGGTGAAGTGAGGAAAATTCGTGTTAAGTGCCTTTCCCAAGGACACAACGTCGGGCCCGAGGCTCGAACCCCCGACCCCGCAACTTCACGATTATGAGAGTGGTAGCCTAACCACTAGGCCACCCACGTCACTATTTGCTAGGATTGTGGAGCAGGTGAGACAATCAAAGTGTTAAAAGTTTAGATTTAAAAAGTCAGAAGTTCAAGTCATCACCAATCCAACATCAGGCACAGAGTACAAGTATAAAAAAGTGAAAACAAATCATTCAAAAAAAAAACAAACAGTAGAGAAGCTGTTCAATGAGAGAGAGAGAGAGAGAGAGAGAGAGAGAGAGAGAGAGAGAGAGAGAGAGAGAGAGAGAGAGAGAGAGAGAGA